GGATCTCCCTTGAACTTCTTACGCCTACTTAAGAGGCCTATGTAAGGTTGGGTATATAACTCAGTTGGTACAGTGCTTTCCTAGCATGTACGAAGGCCTGTGTTCCATCCCTAGCATGGCTACATAGTGAGTTCGAGGTCAGCCATGCTTACATGAGACCCTGTCAAGACGAGAGAGAGAGAGAGAGAGAGAGAGAGAGAGAGAGAGAGAGGAAGGAGAGATCATTATCTATCTGTCTATCTATCTATCATCTGTCTATCTATCTATCTATCATCTATCTCTCTATCTATCATCTATCTAATCAATCATCTATCTATCATCTATCTATCATCTATCTATCTATCTATCTATCATCTATCTAATCAATCATCTATCTATCATCTATCTATCTATCTATCATCTATCAATCATCTATCTATCATCTAACAATCTATCATATATCTGTCATCTATCTATCTATCATCTATCTATCCTATCTATCTATCTATTATCTATCTATCTATCTATCTATCTATCTATCTATCTATCTATCTATCATCAATCATCCATCCATCCATCCATCATCATCTATCTATGCAGAGAGGAGAGAGGTGTGCCTCAGCCACAGCAGCAGTGTCAACAATGTTAGGGTATCCTTTGGTCTGTCTTCCCATGTGGCCCCATAGAGAAGTGTTGTGTCAGGTTCTGGTGCCTTAGTGGCCACCCTGCCTGTCTTAGGGTCAGTTTCATTCCTGAGAAATGTCACTTGCAATTGGTGCATTTCCAGTGAAAGTGCACGAGTAGATTGGAGCCTATGCCGTAGCTTGTGTGCACTTGATGACACATCTGAATCCTTTTCACTGACTCCCAGGAAGTCACTGTGAATGTCCTTAGCCACAGCCTGGGTTCAAACTATGATTTTTCAATGTTGACATCCTGTTCCCTGTCCCTGTGAATTTTTAAACTTTCACTTGTCCCAGTGAAATCTAAACTGTCTTAATACTTGTTTCCCTACTTCTATACCTGCCTCCTGCCCTTCTCTACAGTTCCCAGTCAGCCAGGCAGTGCCTTTGGGCCTGTCTTTCTACCTGGCCTAGTCATGGCAGCATTTGTGCTTGTTCTCTTGCCTTCATTCTTCTGTGACACCTGCTCACCTCCAAACTCAGTCTGCAGCATTACCACTCAAAACTGGGTTTCTGGACTCAACATTAGCATTGCTGGGGAACCTGCTAGGACGCACCCTAGGCCTTCCGCAAGACCTGCCATGCAGAACCTGCTCATTTCTGTGCTCCCTATGTGACCCCAGGGTGCACATAGTAGTTTCAGAAGCCTGGCTCCAGTACTTCTGCTTGAGTTGTTACCAAGTTAAGGGAATTAGAAGTAGATCTTTCTATAGGAAAAATTAGACAAAAAGTTTTCATTATGTTTATTAGTTCATTCTTGGGCAATACACCAATTTTTGAGAAAAGAACAAATGACTATATTGGGGAATAAATGTCTTTCTTAATAATGTGAATGAAGTTAGGGCATTGGGGAAAGAGTGAATAACTTAATTGATATGACTATTACAAGGGGAATTCAAATAGCAGCCTCACAACTATTTGAAAAGTAGACTGACTCCCTCCCTCCGTCCCTCCCTCCCTCCCTCCGTCGCTCCCTCCCTCTCTTCTTCCTTTCCTCCTTTCTTCCTTTTTTCCTGATGCTGAGGATGACCCCTATGCTCTATTGAGCTATACCCCAAGTCTAGAGGGAATCATTTTGTGAGACTGTTTAATTCATGAAATATTTGTGTTTTTCAACTTTTTACTTTTTAAAACCTCTCTAGAAGGCAACTAAACCAAATGTTAATATATAAATGAAGGTATGGAAAGGCCTGTAGAGGACCTCATTTCTTCGTTTAAGGGTATTTCTATCCCCTTTTAGGTTCTGTGATAGCACAGGTAACAGACACAGCGACTTGTTTTCATTATGCCATTGAGCATTAGAGGTCCCACTGCATGAGAAGGCTGTGAAGTGACATGGAAGGGATGGGAGTGTGGGATAGGACCCTGGCCAAGTGGTGAATGACTGATGCTGCATGGTAGAAAAATGGGAGGTTGTGAGCCACAGCACTGATGCAAACCCCCTGCCAACTCCTTAATCCTTGTTTGAGCTGTCTTGACACTTCTTCTGTGGTTGTATTGGTTGAGCCTGATTTGTGATGAGCCCCACTTGATTTTTATGGAAGGAGTATAAATGCATCTTTAACTCTCACCAGCAAACTTCCTTATGCAACAGATGGTGATTAAACCAGAAAGCCACAATTGGCCAAATTGCAGAAAATAAGAGATTGTAGAAAGCTTATCCATGAATAGGACACCTAGCAAACCTCTGCCGCCCAAGGCTCAAAGATCATTGCAGGAGAGGGATGGAAAGATTGTAAGATCCAGAGGTGGTGGATTGCCATATGGAAACAGAGTTTTCCCGATACCTGGGAAGTTACTCATATGAACTCACAGAAATGGCAACAGCATACACAAGACCCATGCAAGCTCAAGCCAGACAAAATTCCAGCATAGACGGAGGAAGTGGATAAGAAGCCTCAACCTTAGCTGAGGAACTGTTGGCAACCAATAACTACTGGGAGAGGGAGAGTTGGTTTTCTTTAAGTGTGTGGTGCTAGATATGTTAACCAGGCTCCAGCGGATGGGCACATACTGAAGGACACTTGGGAACACAAAACTTGTCTCCATAGGCTTTAATATATATGATCGAGTACATGAAATCAGATGGGTGCTAAAAGAGGGGTATAGATAGGGGAGAGGGTATAAATATGATCAAAATATATTTTATAAAATTTGCAAAAACCTAATTTAAAAAAAAAAGAATTTGATAAGGTACACAGTTCGCGCGCGCGCGCGCGCACACACACACACACACACACAAATTTGCTCACTGTGATATCAAAACACTTGATACATTGGTTGTGTAGGATATGATACCACAGACATTTAATGCAGGGAGATAAAAATCATAATTTTTTTCAAGGTCAAATAATTTATTTACATGAGCATTGGCTGTTGATTGTGCATTTTGATTAATAATTCAGAGGTAAGAGGCTAGGACATTTCTTACACTGACTATGGCATGAGAATTCAGAGCAAACCTGCATTCAAGACCTTCTGCTCCCGTTCTGTCTAAGTTGGACCTTGTCCGATATTCACGGCCCTGGGGAGGGGCATCACCACATCCACACTGGTCAGATGCTGATGACTTGGAGAAGCAAAGACTGGGGAAGTGTTCTGTCTCTTCTCTGGAAGTCTCTCATGACAGAAGAACCTGACACTTGAAGCAGATGCAAACTGGTCTTCAGGTTTCAGATCATGTTCAAGGGGTGAGAATTGTTGAAAAGTGTCAGATCTAGAAAACGAGCTGAGGGGATTGAGGAAGGAATGCTTCTGTGAATGATGCAGAGAGAATAGAGAAGTGAGTGAGCTTCTTCAGAGCTTGCTCTGGGTAGGAAGCACGTCCAATATACATATAGCTTAGGTGTGTATATGTATGTGTTACATGTTCCTGTATTTCAGCCAAGTTATCTGATATGCACAATCTTTTTGGTAATTTGAGGATTAGGAAATACTAGAGATACAAAATAGCCCAAATTGGAATGCAGTGGTCAGGTAACTGAGATAACTCCTGGTTAAGTAGAAGAGCACGATAACAGAATGTATTTAAAGTAGAATGTTGAGTTGCTCTTTTCTTTCATGATGAATGTCTAACATCATGCATGAGGCTGCCTTGATGACTGAGGGCATTCTTTCGGTGTTTCCATGGCACTGTGAAAATGACCAGTGATGATCAGGTACCTTTTTTAAAAAAAAAAACTTAAAAAAATTTTTTTATTTATTATTTTTATTTTCTGTGTATGCATGTATTGCCTGCATGTAGGTAGTGCACCTGTGTTGTGCAATGCTCGTGGAGGTCAGAAGAGACTGTTGGATCCCCTGGGTCTGGAGTTACGGACAGTTGTTGGCTGCCATGTGGGTGCTGGGATTTGAACCCGGGTCTTCTGCAGGAACAGCTAGTGTTCTTAACCACTGAGCTATCTCTCCATCCCTGGTCAGGGACCTTTAAGTGAGAGTTAACATTCCACTGTAACTTTATGGGAGTTACCTGGGCATGTCTTGAAAAACCAAGCTGAAACCAACAAGATCTTGAACATTGCAAGAAAATGTGCTTTGTTGAAGTTTTTCATTTGTTTTAGTTAATCTTTGCCCATTTATGTCTTTACATAAAACTTTGTCTCTGTAGCAGTGTTTCCAAATTGTGACCCACAGAGCAGTATGAATCAAAGTATGACATTTATGTACTGTAGGATGTCTTAGAACCTTTAACAATGCTTTTCTTCGCAGTGTCTCTTTCAGAGTGAGACATTGCATCTGATGGTTCCCAAGCTTATTTTACTTTGTCTCCCTACCTCTCCTTTCCTTTGGTCTTCAGGGGCTATTTACCATGGCAGATAGTTGGATAGTTTGGTAAATGATAACTCTGGCACTTTCACATGCACTTTCTCATTTTCCACCACCACAGTTTTAAAAAAACAAACAGTTTTGGTGTCTCCTTTTGGATGAGAAGTAGAGAGCTGAGGCTGTCACCAGGGCCCAGTTGTCCTGTAGCTTGCCTAGGCTTCTCTCTGGCAAGACGTCAGTTCAGGCATACTGCAGGGCATTTGGCTTGCATCTTGAGGGTCTTCAGGTAACACACTGGGATGAATTTTCTGTGTCCTGTGGCTGGCAAGAGATATGTTTAACTAAGCAGTCCACCCCAGGTATGGTCCTCTAGCACACCACTGTCTCTGCTCCAGCCGCCTATGCAAGGTCTTCTGGAAAGCCTTTGGCCTTTTCTTCTCCCTGGAGAAGTGTCTTGGGAGAACTGTAATTTCTTGAAGTCCATTGTTTCAACAGTCTGATAACCAAAGGGAGAGACACACAAGGCAGGATTGTTATAGCACTATGTCATGTTTTCCTTTTTTTTTCTTCCAGAAAGAAATTCAAGCCATGAGTCAGTGCAGCCACCCCAACGTGGTGACTTATTACACCTCCTTTGTGGTCAAAGATGAACTTTGGCTGGTTATGAAATTATTAAGTGGCGGTAAGTGAGTTTCATTATTGTTTGCTTATTTTCTTTTACCCCATGTTTTGTGGGAGCCTACATATTGAATAAGGTGTTAGACTGGATTCCCTCAATCCCAGATTTGAAAGCTTTGTTGGAAAGGCCAGGTGCCTTAATATTCAAAGCCTTTCATAATTGGTTTCATGTTTTGGAGTTTCTGTGTCCCCTTCTCCGTGCATTAAGTATCTCCACTTCTTAGGTTAGGTGAGGCTCAGGCCCCTAAATATGCTGTCTCCTCAGATGCCTCCCCAATCCTCTCCTTCACCTTAGATGTTTCTCCTTTTTCCATGTAACGAAGTCCTAAGATCATCCCCTCTGTAGTCACCACTTACTCTCTTCAAAATCATTGGCCACTCTTCATTATTTGTGTGTCCCTCCCCCTCTTTTTCGTAGTGTTGAAGATCAAACCCAGGGCCTGGCAAGTACTTTAGCACTCTACTGAACTGTACTTCAGCCTAGTCCTTTCTCTTTAAAGTCCCTTTTAACATCTTTTGAGTCTTTAGCATATCACATTCTGTGATGAAGGAAGAGTTTTATAGACTTGAATAATGCAAAGTGGCTAGTGTGATTCAGGGCCCAAGCTTCTATTCCAAGTTACTTCAACCGTATTAAAGCCATCTGTAGTGGTTGGTAGCTATCATATTGGTCAGTACAGAAAGTGTGGACCCCATGAAGAAAGAATCATCCGATGAACTTCACTCATTGAACCTGGCCTCCTGTGAGTGCTCAGTATATTTTGTTTTAGTTGACATGGAGAGAAATGCATGCCACCATATTGGCTTGCAGTGTTGACCCAGGGTGGCACTATGCTCATTCTGTTGTACTTGGGAAGATATTGGTCTCTAGTCTCAGAACTCTTAAGTTAATGACAGTTTACTTTGTAAGGCTCTTTTATATCCATGCTTTTAATTAAAAACAATCTCAGTATCAGAGAGGGAATGGAAGTAATAGCCATTAAGTATTTTGGACACTTATTCTGTGGCAAGATCCTATTCAAGGAAATTCATTACTTATCTCATTCTATCTTAACAATGTCCCCAAATGGACAGTGTTTTCACCATCTCCATTATTCGTAAACTGCACTGAAACTCATGGGTGTTATGTAAGGCCTCCCAGGTCTCCTTCTCACACACAGTAACTGACTTGCAAAAAACACAGATTTAAAAACTGTGTTACATTACAAATATTCTCACCTCCATTTTACAGTCCTGAATCTTGAAGCTTAGAAAGCCCAGTGGTTTCCTTAGCAAGCCCACATCATTTCTGTGTTGGTCTCTCTGTGGTGTATAAACCTCTGAGCATGAAGAATGGCTTTGGAGAACATTTCTATGGTGACTCTATAAATCCCAAACTAGTATAGTTAAAATCACATTTCAGAGCCCATTAAAAATATTTTATTTATTATTTACATATACGAGTGTATTGCCTGAATGTATATAAGTGCACCTATAGTCATATAATGCCCACAGAGGTCAGAAGAGGGCGTTGGATTTCCCTGGAACTGGAGTTCTAGACAGTTGTTAGCCTCAAGTGGGTTCTGGGAATTGAACCCAGGTCCTCTGCAAGAGCAGCCAGTGCTCTTAACCACTGAGCCATCTATCCAGCCCTGAGAGCCCATTTAAATCTTCAGACCCAGTTCCAGCTAAAACTAAATTAGGGATATATTTTAATTAGTTATTATTTTTTTTAAAAAAGAAATCTCTTAGACCATGCAGAGTGCCCAACATGAGATGGCGAGAGTCACTGTAGTTGACTTGAGTATGTGGGTCTCAGTGGAGTCGGGGATGGTGTGGTTCTGCTCTTCCCCCCTCCCTTAGCTCTGATTTTTAAATTTTATTTATTTTGAGTTTCTATTTAAGCTTCTAATTAAAAAGGAAAGAGAAAAGGCAAAGGAAGCCTCACAGAGCTGAATCAGTAGCTTTGGGCTTCTTTTTTCCTTTCATGAGTGACAGTGCTTACAACTGGGTGTGGGAGAGTCTTGTGACTTCTACTACCTCAGAGAAAATGGAAGTTCTGGTGACCCAGACCTTGATTAGTTGCAAATTCTCTGTTTGTCTTTAATTCAGTTAGCCTTTCACATTCATAAATTTGAGAACATCTCTGATTTCTTTTCTGGTACCAGATAGAAAATGCATTGTCTATGTAAGAGTCCAGCCCTGACTCTCAGGGCATTAAAAGGGAAGAGGAATAGGTTTAGAGCAGGCTTCCACAGGGGAATATGGACAGATAAGGACTCTTGTTCATTTTTCCTTTGGAAGGCCAGAAATACATTTATGCTGGTTAGGGTATAATTTTATAAGAATAAAACAAATGTTTTGTAGAGTCATTGTTTTTCTAAATGACCCGGAAAATCTTAAAGTTGATGCATAAACACATACTTTCTTCTTTTCAAGGAGGGAAATATACATTAATATTTTTCCCTATGTTTTACCACATGGAATCTCCTAATGAGGGGCAGCGGGCAGTTAGTTTGGTTCAATAATATCTGATGGGGAAACTCAATCCTCTTAGTTAATCATAAAGAGCCTAGAGCCAAATTCTAAGCCATTTGTTAATTCTTCAGAAATGTTGAATCCCCAGGTAATTACGGCTTTAAAAATAACCCTGAGGTTTAGGATATTAATAACTGTGTGTTGAAACATGAATTCACAGTGCCCAAGATACCAATCTGTATATAGTAACGAAGCACTAGGTATTTATTTATTTAATCCATGCATAAAGCATCAGATGAAAATAAGAGCTGCTGGAGTCACACAAAGGAGTTTTTTGGTTATCGGCAGAGGTTTGTTTTGGGTGATCAGGAAAGGCTGTCTTCATCTCTCTTCAGTTCTTTACTGTCTTTCCTCTGGCCTCTTGAACAGTCTTTTTGGTTCCTCACTTCTCTTTTTTTTCTTCTTTTTAGAAGATATCTTCTATAATGTGGGTTTTTTTTTTTTTTGTATTCTTTAAAAATATGTATTTTAAACTGTGTTACACAAGCTGTTCCTGAATTCCTGGGCTCTTATCCTGTCTCAACCGTCTGAGCTGCTAGAACCACACCTAGTTTAAAAAAATTTTTTACACTATTTGTTTATTTGTGTGTGTGTGTGTGTGTGTGTGTGTGTGTGTGTTGCCCATGCCATGGCATATACATGGACCACTTGTGGGAGTCTGTTCTCTGCCTCTGCTGTTGTGAATTCTGGGGATCAAAATCAGGTCCTCAGATTTGTCAGCAAGTACCCTTACCTGATGAGCCATCTTGCTGGCCATTCAAATTAAAAAAAAAATTTTAATTTTTCAGATGTGTTGGGAATCTAACGTAGGAGCTTTTAAAAATAGGATTCTCTAGAGGAACAGATTCAATGGGGGAAAATATATAAGCTATACACATATAATTATAAAAGAAATTAATTTCATTGGCTTAAATGAGTAGAGACTGAGTAGTTCTACAATGGGTGTCTGTACACTGGAGAGGCAGAAGTCTTAGAAGTTGGGTACCAGTGGTGCATCTGAGACTGAAGACCTGGAAAGCTCCTTGGGGAGTTGCTGGTGTGCATCTGCTTTGAAAGGCCTGTGTCCATGGGATGGACGGCAGCAGCAGTAGACTCACTCAGGAGAGTAGAACTTGCACATATTGGTTGGCTTTCTCTTTTTTCATGTTTATTCTATCTGGGGCCCCAGTGTATTGGGTGATATTACCTACATTCAGGGCAGGTCTTTTTCTCTCAGTTACTGCCTCATGTGCCAATCATCACTGGACATATTCTCACACAGACACACCCTGAAGTGTACTTTACTGATAATGTCTTAGGCATCTCTCAATTCAGTGAAGCTGATAGGCAAGATTAACCATCATAGCCTTGTACAGAGCTACAACCCCAGCTCCTGGTTCCTGACTTTTTTAAAGGACTTATTGTTATTTATGTAATGTGTGTGTCTGCCATGTGTGTGTAGGTAACTGCAGAGGCCAGAAGAGGGCATTGGATTCCCTAAAGCTGGAGTTAAAGTTAATTGTGAGCCACCCAATCATGTGGGTGTTGGGAACTGAACTCTGGTCCTCTGGAAAAGCAGAAAGCTCTTTTAACCACTGAGCCATTCCCTGGTTACTGACTGTTAATGAGAATCCTTCTTAAGTTCATACTGAAAGTGCTCTTGCTAATTTATTAATAAATTTAGTGTTTCTGGTTTTGGGGATGCCATTCAATTGTTCATATTTTTTGGGAATACTGGCATTAAGTAAACAGATTCTGTTTTGATGTTCCCATTTAATGTTGTAACAGAGGGATCTTAAGCTATAATCTATTATAAAATTACCTTTCCAATTCTTCTGTGTGTGTCCACTCAGGTTCAATGTTGGATATCATCAAATATATCGTCAACCGAGGCGAGCACAAGAATGGAGTTCTGGAAGAGGCAATAATAGCAACAATTCTTAAGGAAGTTTTAGAAGGCTTAGACTATCTGCACAGGAATGGTCAGATTCATAGGTATGGTTTCTGTACAATCCAACTCTTCGTATGTTTAGCTCATTTGTAAAGAATTTTAAGAAAGTCTGTGTTGCAGGCAGGTTTGGTATTAATTAAAAAGAAAAACATAAACCCCAAAAGAAGAAATTTTAACACATTTCATCTGAATCCTTGGGGTTGGCTTATGTGCTTTAACTGAAATAAAGCTGAATATAGTATGCGCCAAGTGAACTCATTAACAAATTAGTCAACATAATTACTCTTGAGGTGTACTTAATTGAACTGAATGGCATTTCTCTCTTTCAAATAAAAACAAGACCGGGACATTATAATACGTTAACTTTTTGACCTGGTGGTGAGAGGGAAGGAGGAGGCACTAACTTCCTCTTCTATAACATATAATGCTAATATTTGAAATGGATAGCACAGAATATGACTGCCTGATGTTTCAGAAACAATATTACTCTGGCTCTTAAGAATTGTACAAATAGACAACCATTTATCAATAATACTCATAATGTGATTGTTCTAGCCTAAACCTGAGAGAACTGTGTATTTAATGGTCTGTACTTTTTTATACGTAGAAAAGAAAAATATTACTTTAGAAATTAAATTTATAAATTATCATTTTCTTTAAATCGTAAGATGGATCTGCACAACTTCCATACAGTGAAGAAATACCACTTAAAATATTATAATTAATATTTATCCTTGGTATCTC